GGCAAGGCAAATGCAAAGGAGGACAGCTTTGAGTTGTTCATATTACAGTTGGGGGTGAAAGTGCAGGGAAACTAACTTCACAAAAGCTAAGGTACAGGGTTTATTTGATAAGCTCTAGTTTGCATTATCTAGCTAGAAAGCAGAGAATTATCAGTGTACTTTACTTGAAAAGATAACTTAAAAAGATTAAAGTTTCTTGAAAGAGTTGTCATTGCTCTGCTCTCCCAACAGGTCTCTCGCCTTCAACTTCAGGAAGCTCTACCAAATTCAAGAAGGAACATTATTCTGAAATTCAACTGCAATGCGGCACACCCAGGAAGCACACCACACAATTCAGTTCAGTGAGTAATCCAAGTTTTATACATTATAGTTTTGAAGTAGATAACTTGTTAAAATGTTCAATATGGATTTATGTCTTCCTGGTTTTGTTAGTTTGGTGGTTTTTTTTTTTTTTTAGAGAACATAGAAAGCTCATTTGATGATTGCAAGAGGAGTAATTTTTCTCCCCTTTCTCATCCCCTGAGATAACTAAGCTAGGGTCATAGGTAGGGAATGAGTCTTAAGTACACAAATAACCAGCACATCCTCTTTTTTTTCCCTGGATAAAGTCAGAAGCTTTAGTTTTGTTATTTTGAAAACAAATAGGCCTCCACAAAAACTTAAGGTAACTGCATTCAGCCATTCCATTGTAGTCCATGTTAGTAATATAGATTCCTAACAGAGCATTCTTGCCTTTGGTAAAAGCAGTGTTTCCAAAAATAATAATAATGAGAAATCTTCTAAGAAAACAGATGCATCATCGCCTGCTTCCCAGCACTTGGAAGCAACCTTAGATGTTACCAGTTTTTGGGGGAAGCACATGGAAATAGGAAGAAGAGCTACACATAGATGTTCTTCTTGATGCAAACCTGTAGAAGAACAGGTAAAGACATTTCTCTTAAAACAGAGGCCCAATTCTTCGCTACTTAAACAGACAATCTTTTTTAAGCCTTTACATTACCTGCCCCCTGATACAACTGAGGACTTTTCACACAAGGCATCATCTTAGATAAGGATTAAAACTTAACTACAAGAGACATACAAATGCAAAAAACTCTCCACAACTATAAAGTGATTCGGTCTCACAGACCTCTCACAACAAAGCTTTAAGGGCACTTCCATTGTTTTATTTCTCCATTAGACTGACCTTTTCCACCAGCTACACTTGAAAAGAAGTTGTTGAGAGCAGAGCAGCAACTTTCCTTCTAGGTAAGCAAGGCTCCCCGGCGCCCCCCTCCCTCCAGGGGAGGGCCCCGGCGCCCCCCTCC